GGGGGGGGGGGGGGTAAATAGCCAGCACCTCTTCAACAGGAGGTTGCCATGCTACAAGGCCATGCATAGACTGTGGCCAGTGTGTTATGAGGGTGGTACACGCACGCGCATGGCCAGCAGCTGCCTGGGTTCAAACCCCAGCGGCAGCATGCATCCCGATCTTGATTAATATAATCCGGGAGCGGGGCGGGGCAACGGGGTTTTTCCTCGCGTTTTCACTGAAAAACACCTAAAAAACAGCGAAAAAACCCGCTGTCGGGTTTTGCTGTTTTTCTCAGCTGTACAGCTGTACGGGGTGGTGGGTGGGAGCGGGGAACGTGCGGTACTTGCTTGACTGACTGGGGACTGGGAATGTTGACTCAGCAGGGTAGACTTCCCCAACTTGACCACTTGCCTCACAACTTGACCACTTGCCTCTGGTTAAACGTGGGCAACCCACGAAAGGCCACTACTGGGACCTTCCGGAAGGCCGTAGACTTGGCCTTTCGTGACTGTAGCAGCTACGACTCTGACGATTCTGGACTGTAGCAGCTACAACCTTGACCTTTCGAGAACACTACAGCTACGATGTCTAGACCTGACTAAGGCTCCTATCCGACAGGTCTACAGATCGAACCCATGCTACCCATGGACCCTACAACAACCTATCATCTATTACAAATACGCAGGTCACCGGTTCAACTCTACGGGTTGACACAGGTACTGACACAGGTAAGGTTGGGGTCTAGGGATCGAACCCAGGGATCTGCAGCAGCTACTGCTAACTGGTGAATACCGTTTCAAAGGCAACGATGTCAAACCGCAACAACACACAAAATAGGAGGATGCACCTACATCGCTTAGGGCCTCTAAGCCCTGCGCTGCCCTCAGGCAGCTGGCTCGACCAGCTATGGCCGTCAGCAACCGCTGACTAAGAAAGATCCTGTGCTATGGGAATTAGCGTTGCAGCCTCAAGGCGACCTCCTTGCAACACTTCATGAAAGAAAGACGAGGCTGAAGCCCGGTTTTCTTGGCCTTTGATACTTTTGTAGACTCCTGCTTCCACTGGCTTGACAACCTACAGCATAGGAACGACATCCTACAACCTATGACTAAATCTTCACCTAAAATGGGCAAAAAGGAAGGACAAGAGCCACCTACAACTCAAGGGCAGAAGAGGACAAAACAAAGAGGCCCGGTGGTTTTTTGACTACTCTACAAACACTCTCACAATCAAGGCTAGGGATTGACCCAACAAAGCTCACACACACAAAGAAACACACAACCACGGTACAGGTCACGAGGTCAAGTCCTGGAGAGCTCAAAACCAAACAAAAAGGCAGATAAAAATAGTTTACAACCCGCATAACACTGCAATTCATTGCAAATTTGCCTCGACTACATTTGCCCAACTTTAGAAACCAGTGGAAAGAAGTGAAAATAAAAGCGAAAATAAAATAGTAATGACAAACAATGGCCAAGTTGCTCTCACACGTGTCAGCAATCATTAAACAATGCAAGTGTAATGAGCTGCAATAGCACAGGCAGAGAACCCTGATGATTTTATGAGTTTTGCTGGAATGTGTGCCGTGCTGAGATTCCCGCTTTCTGCATCGGTCCAAGTCAAATTGGGGTTGTGCAACCTCGAGGTAGTACATACCCAACAACATGTCGAACGGTAAGTCGTCACTAACCAGGAACAAAATCTGGTGATTGAGTTCCCCTCCTCCATAGCAGAAGGTGCAGACCACGTCCTTGACATAGTCCTGGACAAACACGCACTCCTTGTTGGCCAAGGTAGAAGCTACAACTCTACTCAGCCGCTGCACCCAGTCCCCTAAGCGCAGCCTCTCAACTCAATCGCCACTAATGAAGTTTCATGTGGAGCCAATGTCTACAAAGGCGCCATACTTTCGGCCATCTACACCGACTTCCACTACGAAGTGTTTCCCTCTAGGACCTTTGGACATCGCCACCCACAACTCACGAGGGTCTTTCCGTGACTGCTCCTTCTCTAGGTCCTCTCAGACTTCAGATGTGTTTAACAAAGAGCAGTG